TATTTTCTCGGAGGAACCACATCAGAGACTTTGCATTGCAAAAGTAATAGGTTTGATTAAAACAGTACAGCCAAATCATTGTATGGATAAACAAGCAAACAACTGCAAAAAGGAGCCCCAGAAAATTAGATAAGGGAAAGAATAAACACAGAACCTCAGAGAAATACTGCATCCCATTAATTATATTAATATATACATAATAAGAAAACAGAAAAAGGAGGAAAAAGCAGAAAACATTCAAAAATAGTAGCCCAAACTTTTCAGATTTAATGGAAAATATTAATCTTTATATCCAAAAAGTTTAAAAAACTACAAAGGTATAAACACAGATTCACTATTATAAGAATGCTGGGGAAAAAAGAAAAATTCTAACATCAGCACAAAAAAAAAAAAAAAAAAAAGAGAGAGAGAGAGAGAGAGAGAGAGAGAGAGAGAAAAAAAAAAAAAAAAAAAAAAAGACTCATCACATAGAAAGGAACTCTATAAAGAAGCCAGGGTGATATCATAGACCAAAAAAAGAGCTATTGAATTCAGCAAAATGATGTTTCACAAGGAAAAATGAAATAGACATCTCATATAACAAAAACAAACAGGATCTGTTACTAGCAGACTTACCTTCCAAGAAATACCAAGGAAGGGCTTCCTGAAGTCACGTGATCCTCTACACTAATGAGTTCACACTGAAAGTGTGCTGACAAATATAATTACATAAGCGTGAGTGGGGATAAATCTGCATTCTTCTTTCCTCACCTTATTTAAGAAGGAATTGCACAGAACAGTGTTATATAGTTGTCCTAGGGGATGTAGCACATATACAAATGCAGTTTCTAGCAGTAACAATACAATGAAGTTAAAAGAGAACAAAGGAGTTCTGGAGTGAGAAAATAATGCCAGATGGAAACTTGGATCCACTGTTTCAAAAGTGGTAAATAAGAGGTTTACTTTGAGGAAATCTATGACTACATATTTGCTCTTTCTTTGCTTAGCTTCTTCAATATTCACACAAATATTGATAATAGTCACTATGATGTATTACAGGTGTGTAATATATACATGCATATGGACAGAGATAGATGCTATGTATAACAATAACTGCACAACATGAGAAGGGATAGAGTTATTTAGGGGTAACTGAATAGCTTATCCGATCAAGTTAGTACAAATTTGAGGTAGCTCTGATCACCTCCAGGCTCACTAGAGGTGTTCAAGGAGAGCTCCAAGGACAGCTGCTTGGTAACGCAGGTGCTCTGAGACAGGAGGGGCAGACACACTCAGCAAACACAGAATCACTATGAAAGGGAAATACACTAGATGGATTCCAGCAGCAGAGTGACCGAGAAATGGAGGTGGCACCACCACTGATGCAGTGTCCTTTACTGTGCAAACACACCGTCTTGGGAGTGCTTCAAACACCCCAAGCTCTGCAGAGGCCAAAATTGTAGGGTACACTGTCACACACTAGAAAAGGGAACCCCGTGTGGACGACAACTGGAGCAGGGCTTGGGGAAGACACAGACTGCAACGTGTGAAAAAAGATGCCAGGAAGGAGTGCCAGAGCACCAGAACAGGCAAGCCCACCCTTCACCTTCCTGACCTCCAGGGACCGTTATGCCCTCATAACATCTTGCCCCCGCCCTGCTCCAAAAGAATGTCTGTCATCAAGAATTTGAACAGTAACAAATATTAGGAAGACAGCCGGGGAAAAGGAGCCCTGCTACCATGCTGGCGGGCATGTAAACTGAGAAGCTTAGTATGGAGATTTGTTTAAAAACTAAAACTAGACATCCCTTTGGACCCAGCTATTGCCCTTCTAAATATCTTCTCCAAAGTGTTCAAGGCCTCTTGTCACAATGATACCCATTTACCCATGTTTCTTGCAGCACAACTCACGATAGCTAAATCTTGAAAGAGCCTATATGTCCATCACAAGATGACTGGAAAAAGAAATGTGTTATTTATATACAATAGAGTACTATTCAGCCAGGAAAAAAAAAGATAAATTGATTCATTTGTAGGAAAACAGATGCAATGTGAGACCACAATATTAAGTGAGTTAAATCAGATGCACAAACTTAAATACCATATTGTTTCTCTTGTAGAAGAAACCAAATATAAATAATTCAAGATCAAAATAAGCAATGAGTAATACGAATCAGAGAGATACCTGATGTGCAAATGGAAAGGAATCTAGAGATGGAGGGAGGTAAAAAGAGAGAGGAAAAGGGCAAATAAAAAAGAATTAAGGCATGTTATGCACGTGTACTCCCCACACTGACAGTAACCACTAGGTCCTACAAGCATAAGCTAAGATTTGACAGCTCACATGCAGATGGTAAACCACAGTGCAGCCACTAAGAAAAACTCAAAAAAGTATAAATTACCATGAATGCATTCTAAATGTATCCTAGAAGAATTCACTTACAGTAAAAAAACAATAAATGAGGAACAGAAGAATATCAGTAAGAAAAAGGCACATAAAGAATATAAAGTTGAATGATAAACATAAATGTAACTGTCAAAAATGATATAAAATGTTAATGGGTCAAGTAACCCAATCAAAGACAAAGGCCTTGTAAGGCTGAATTAAAAGCAGGGCAAAACAAGATCCAACTATAAGCTGCTTGCAGAAATGTACTTTAGATTCAAAATATAAACAAACTGAATCCAAAACAATGAGAAAGGATACAGCTGTGAACAGCAACTGTAAGAAAACTGGAATGGCTATACCAATATTTGACAAATTAAAGAGATATAAATGAATGGGGAAATGCTACCAGAGATATGGGAGTCATTTTAAAACGATAAAAAGATAATTTAAAGTAAAAAATTTGTAAATTTGCATACACTTAATAACAAACCTTTCAAATGCATAAAGGTCTAATTTGGAAAGTAGAAATAGACAATTTAACAATAATAGGGTCACTGACTTCCTACTTTTAAAAATAAGAAAAGGCCAAATGTCATCAAGAAAATAGAAGACAGGGGCCACACTACAAAACAACTAGACCTAGCCATCATCTGTGGACCACAACTCCAAAAACAACGGAATACTCTATACGGGCACATGGAGCATTCTTCAGGACAAGCTACGTGCTAAGCTACTAAATACAGGCTTCCACAAGCTTTAAATTATTGATACTATATAAAATATGGTCGCTGGCTATAATTAAAGAAAACCTAAATCAATTACAAAAATTAAAGAATTTGAGAATTTGATAAAAAATTATGAGGTAAATTAGAAAACATTTTGACATGAATGAAAATGAAAACAGCACTCTACAACTAACAAAAACAAACTAGAGAAAACTAACAGAATCAAATTTTAGCCCTTTAGAAAGATCAACAAAAGTCTTACGTAGTTAGATTTACCAATTCCAAAAAGGGTACATGCAAATTATCTTACTTGAAAACCTTTTTTTTTTTTTTTTTTTTTGGTGGTACTGGTTAAGGCAAGTGCTTATTCTACTGAGCTATCTCACTGACCCCCTGAAAACCTTCTGAGGACACTACCATACACATCATCATGACTACTATCATGCAACATGGATCCATACATGTGCAAGCTATATGGAAAGAACTCAGCTTTGTCAACAAAACCGACCCTAACTCGAATTTCCAACTGGAAAATTTGTCACTTATCTCTAGTTAACTCCCTCCCCACTTTTGCTCTAGAAGGCTCCTGGCCCAATTTCAGGGCCCAATGTCCATAGTGTAGCTCTTACTTTTTCTTGTCACCCAATGATCCAAACAAAATAGATGTGAGATCAACTATTTACACATTTATTGATGGGAAAATTACTTCTTCAAGTTCATTCCAACAAGCACACACTATAAAATCTATTCTGAGTCTGTGATACCCACCTATCACAGGAAAGAATTTTCCATTTTTTTCATATTACAGAATATGAAACCACCATGAAATCTTACCAGTGGACACCATGATCTGAATCAAGTAGTTTATTTCAGAAAATAAATTTGATCCTTTCCCCAAAAATAAAGGACGAAATATGGTAAACTACATTTCACCCTGGAAGGGACTGTTTTACTTTTCGTTACATCTATGTTGTACTTCAGGGGACCAGGGCAACTGTCTGCAGTTAAAGCCAGTAAGAGTCCCTTACCTCTTGCGTGCAGCCCTGTCAGCAGCAGAAAGGCAAACACTTGTGGACTGCACTGCTCCAAGCTCAGGGCACAGTGTCTATGAGAGTGTGGCACCGTGTCCCAGCACAGTCTGCAAGGGCACCTGCTGTGCCATCCATGTGGTCATGCAAGAAAAGCTTCAGATCTAGCCTTGATGTTGTCACATGACATCTCCAGATGAGGCCACTCCTACAGTCCACATCGGTACAGGTGTGAGAATGCCACTGGTCAGTGATACGTAAGCTTTTAGATCACGATTTTTCTAACCACGTTTTGCCATTCTTCATTGGTGAATACTAAAACTACAAAATGGAAGCCCAGGGCTCTGGTCGTTCTCCCAGGCTCTGCCTGCTGCACTCTCCTCTGTGCTAGGACTGTGGGGAAAATCCCAGCCCTTGGCCCGCAGTACTTTCCTTACTGCTACAGCTCTGGTCCTTGTCTCCTTGCTCAGAACTCCACAGTAAATTTTCTTTGCTTCCATTTTCAGACATAGCTAATGAAATTTTTATTTATAGCAATGTTCCCATTAATACAGCTCTGTTTAACAAATCTAAAAGCTCCAAACACATACTTATCCTACCTACCTTTAATTTGTTTCTTTTGTGTCACAAAAATCCCTCCAAACAGACTATTCTATTGAAATCATCAGTTTTACAATGATTACAACAACAAATAATATTTATTAAGTACTTGTTTGTGCCAAGCACTCTACTGCTGTACATAAGTTATCTCATTCTGCAAGTAAATATATCTTTATATTCACAAGGAACATTTAAAATTATTCAGGGGCCGATAAGATAGTTCAGTGCCTACTTAGGCAAGCTGAGGAAGGCGCAGGGGACCATGGTTCGATCCCCGGCACCACATGCCATTCCAGCCCTGCCCTTAGGACAGGCTGAGCTGGCCAGAAAAGTAAAATAAAATAAATTCCGGTAAGGACATTGCTGGTCTTCACTGAAAGAAATTTTAACATACCAAAGAAGTGGAATCTATAGAATAGCATACTCTAAAGGCTTACAAAGTGTAGAACACTAAATTCAAATGGGATACTATTAAATTTATACTTCTATTTGCGGAATATAAAGCTATTCCTGGTATACTGTATCTGCTTTCTTTTTGTTCTATTTATTTTTTAGAACTTTCTCAAGTTTTTAGAACTCACATCTTCAGAAATATCAGATAAACATGTTAGATACATATTCAATTAATCCTTTAAGAAATACAGAAAGCGAGTGCTATATTTTTGCATTAACTCTCAATATGTGTTCCATGGAAAACCAGACTGACATTAATTTTGGTATGGGTACTGGGAAATAATGAGACATGATTTTTACTATTCTTTCACATTACATTTTAAGCTCTAGGCTGTTCTTGATCAAAACCTTTATTTTCTATCAAGTATTATAACAGACTCCAAATGAATACATTTTCTGTTAGAGGCAAAAAATGAGTGACTACTAACACTGGGAATGTATTTTTCCTATCAACATTAATATGTGATATATAGTCATATTAATAACCACTTTGAAAACTAGTCTCATTTCTTCTACACATAATCAATAAACAGTATTGCAAAATATGAATCCTAGCAACAGTGAAGTGGATATATACTATGGGGTTTCTTCCAAATGTGTAGTCATCTCTGTATTCCTTCATGCCATGTGTACAGGCAGCTGTTGCAGACGCCCACCAAAGCTGGGTTAGATGAAAGAACACAACGCAGGCTGTGTGGATGCCCTATAGCTGAAGCTCAGGATCTTCTATTGCTCATCCAAGAGCACCTCAAAACCACCGTCTTCCTCCTGTAGGCAAGAAAGAAGAAATCTGTAACATTACTGACTTTCACTCACAGCAGACTGAAAGATAGTAAAAGATAAAGATTTTATGACAAGAAAATGGAAATTGCATAAACATCTTCATATTCCACATTGTTCTCTCTGCAGTTTGCCCATAAAGTCTGGCATAATTGTATCTTTATGACAGAATCTGTTATTGCAAAATGTCATAGAAACAAATATTTTGAATCAAGATAAATTAATTGTTAAACAATTCTATAAATAAACAACTTGCATCTCCTCGCTAATAAATAAAGCTTTAAATTACTATCACTAGTTTCCTGTGCAGTAATCACAGGTGGATAGCAACTGAAGAGCACAAAAGCTACTTCTTTCTGGTCCCTAACTTACCTTGTCATTCTAGTAAATATATGCTTAAATAATAAGTATAGACTATTACACAAGACAACAGCACCATCTGACACAGTGAATCACATGCACCCCATTCACAAAAAGAGCATGTGCTAAGTTTTAGTTCAACAACATCCACTTGGGCTTCTAGCAGCAGGGGTGGTGGGTGTGCATACTCTCGTGCAAACACCTAAGGTAACCTGTCACATTTTAGACAAATATTTATCAAAATTTAGGACATAGGTACTTTCTGATCTAGAATTATACCTCTAGAAACTTATAGCACAGATACAACCAGACAATCATACAAATATTCAATGGATAAGGATATTCATTGCAATGGTAAAATTGAAAACATAATAAAATGAAAAAAGCCTAAAAATATGTTCTTGCATATTAAATATGCATATTTGAAATTATCTTTTATTTCACGAACTTAGGATAAAGCCTCTAGACCAGCTATCCCCAAATGATATATTAAACCTGTCTTTCGGATACAGATGAATGTCCATTTTGTTTCTGTGTAGTCAGGGTGGTTAGGATAGATATATAGTTACATTCTCTTAATGAATAGAGGGATTTGTTCTAATGGTGTTTGTAAATAGGATCTCAAGTCCACATCTTGTATAGCAATTAACCACTGAGAAGAATGTATGCAATGTGTTGATTGTTGAAACTGTCCTACCAATTTGGTTTAAAACTGTCTCATTGCTATTTGTTTCTCAATAAAATTATGGGAAAAAAACTGTCTTTCATAAATTGCCATAGAATGAAATACTTTAGAATTAGCCATAGGGCCAACCAAATAGCTCAGCAGATCTAGGGGTTCAATCCCCAGGTCTGCTGTGCCAGCCCCATTCCCCAGGGCACACTGAGGCGGCAACTGAGACTGGGCACGGTGGCACGCGCCTATAATTCCAGCTCTTGGGAGGCTGTAAACAGGCGGATCACTATGAGTCTGATCTAGTAGTGAGAACCTGAACACCTTATAGACCCTTACCTAAAATACAAAAAAAAAAAATTAGTCATACAGAGTATGGATAGATACCTGTGCATGTGTTTGCACATATATACATACTTTAAATATATGTATACATTTAACTAATTTATTAACAAATATTCATAATGGTGTGGTGTTTGCAAACAGCATTTCAAAGAAGATACTAAGTCATTACCAAATCTTAAATTTTAAACCATTTATTTGTACATTTTAAAATGACAAAATTTTGTGTATTTATCATGTACAACATGATGATTTGAAATAAACACTGCAATAGCTAAATCAAGATAAATAACATATGAATTACCTCATACAAATAGATTTGTTTTAATAGTGTTTGTAAACAGGATAACATGTCTGCATCTTGCACAATGAATAACCACTAAGACAACAATATGCAATGTATTAATTATTGAAACTGTCCTACGAATAATATTTGAAACTGTCTCATTGCTATTTGTTTCTCAATAAATTATTGGAAAAAAATAATAACATATTGAACTGCAAAAGAAAAGATGAATTACCTCACACAGTTGTCATTTTGTGGTAAGAATACATTCTATTCTTTTATGTTTTCTAAGAATACAATATATTATTTTGAAATATACATATCTCTTGAACTCAGTCATCCTAACTCAAATTTCATAACTTTTCCTTTATAATTTTCTCCTTTTTATTTCCTATCGTTTTTCCCTTTCTCCCATCTTTATTGTTTATTCCTTATGTTCAGTTTCTTTCCACTTTACAATGTCTTTTATTATTTTCAAATTTTATTTATTCTTTCAGGTTCTTACACTAAGGAGACAATAATATTTACATATGTGGGTCTGATTTATTTCACTTATGAGTAGAGCTTCTAGTTTGGGACAGCTGAGATGATTGTAATACTCATTTCCATCAGTTTTTTGAAAGTAGCAGTTAATGTCTAAAATGTTCACATTGACTAACTTTATATGCTGTTATCTATATTCTGAGCAACTACATCAAAGACAGCAAAGTGCAATACAAAAATCATGGTTGAATACTTCTCATCTTGTTCATCTTATCAATTAATATTCTCTCTTTAACATAAATTTTAACATACATTAAGTAAAAAAGGACAAGAAAAAATTACAGTTTATTGAAAGTAAGCATTAATGTTAATTATTTGATCAATTTTGCATACCTATATCTTAATCTGAACAACAGATTTGACAATGAAAATATTCAAAATAACAACCATTGTACAATTTTTATTCTCATTTTGAAACTCTGCACCATGTGCACTGTTGTTTGTTACCCTGTTTTTGCCTTTGTTTCTGATACTTGTTTTTACTCTTTAAAATAAAAAAATTGAAAAAAGATTTGTCACTGTTGACCAACATTTCCCCACCCCCTTTTCCATCAATCCTTTAAGACTGGGGCCGGGGAGATGGCTCAGTGGAATAAGCACTTCCCTGGCAAGTGCAAGGGCCTGAGTTCAATCCCCGGTTCCGCAAAAAAAAAAAAAAAAAAAAAACTAGGCCTCAAAGGCGATTTCAAAGGTGAAACAGAACTCTGTTTATGTGTATATTTTGACAATTATACACTCATAAGTTTCAATTAAAGTGACATGAAGCTCATGGTCAAATTATAAAATCACATCTTTCCACAGCTAAAAGGAGCCTGAAATCACAATGCATGAATTCCTCCTAACATTAGAAGTTGGCTGGCAATCTTAAATATTCAAAAAATGGTGAGACTGGTAAAACAGACGTCTAATCTCATGCTATTGCAATGATATTCTCTAATATGCTAATGTGAGCTATCAATCTCCAGAAGCAGGGTACTCATACCCAGGATCCTCCAAACGTATGTGCACAGTCTTTTTTAGGAGACGCTTCAGGGGACCATAAAGCCTCAGGTACCTGCTGGCCTATAGGTCTTATTTTAAGTTCCTGAAATAAAATTTTATTTTAAGTATATAACCAATCTTCTAAAAATTAAGTTACTGTGGTCCAAAACACCAAGTAAAAGATGAGTAGGCTAATGTACACTCTAATCATAAGAGATTCTGTCTTAATCCAAATCTGAATAATTCTAGCACTTAGCCTATATTCACAATGCAACAGAAACATAACAGTACTTTGTTCATATTTTAATCTTAAGGGTCTGATGCAGAATTTACCTGGGCATTTCACCTGTTATGAGCTAGGTACTCACTCTGGTAAAAGTTCCTTCATAGAGAAAGCTAAAACAAAGTGCTATGATTATTGATATTTTCACTGTGTATTTTTTCAGAAAAAGAAAGGCACTACATCAGTGCCAAGGCTCTTTAAGATGATCTTTATATTAGCTTCCCCCCACACACACATATACCATTGATATTGTTTACTACAGCTACCAGATTAACTGAAAAATGTTTTAACTGTCCATAATGCAGGATATGGTTTGGAACAAAGAAAACCCAAATTCAAATGTCAGGTCTCCCATCAAACTGCTGTAAAGATTTAAGACAATTTACTTGAGTGTCTGAGCCTTGGATTACAGCACCTACACTTTAGGGAGCATGCAAGAATGTAACGTGACAGCAGGCAGTGTGCTGAGCACAGCGCGTCCCAGGCACACTTGACCTCAAGTAAAGTTGCTAAGCGCTGTATGTGTGCACATAAAAAGAAAAACAAGACAAAATCATATTAGCCAGTACTCCAATTTTAACTTTTTAATTTGTATCAAAATTATACATACACAGTTTGAAGGCTCTAAAATTTTTGTTTTAAAAACTCCTTATCCCTTGTCCTACACAGCACCAATCACCTACGTTTTTCTTTGATTAGTTTGTTACTATCAGAGAGCTGTGTGGCATGATGGTAAGGCTTTCTTTTGTTTTAGGGTTATGGAATAGATTTCCCTATGGAGATTAAAGATTTGACCTCCTTTCCTCCTGTCAGAATCACAGACACAGGTACACACACACACACACACACACACACCTTTCCCATCATCCCATCTCCCAAATATAGTTAAATAATAATCATGTTGAATTAATATTGCATTTGCATTTTTGTAATATCACTCAGAGCTGATCTGTATGTATTCCTTTAACTCCTTTCCTGCACACTATTTTATTGTCTCTGGGCTATATAAGCATTGTTTCTGCCATAGCTTTTTATAAACTCACAACCAACAAACCACCTACCAGTTACCTGACTCTCCTCTCAAGCACAAAGTTCATCACCTCACTAAGAAAGCTTGTCTGCAACTTTCTTCATGGCTCCAACCTGCACCGAATTCTCTCTATGGGCAGGACCTCTCCCCTCTGCCTTCCTGGACGCTCTCCTTGCCCTTCCACCTGTTGGGCCTCCTGTTTCCTGGGTGTCCCATCTTTTTTTTTCAGTTGACCCTATTGGTGAAGCACATATAGTAGCTTCTTGAGAGCTTTTGATAATCTTGTTACCTGGGAAAGACGATTTTTTGTACTCATTAACTTTATTGAAAATCAATAATTATATAGCAAATTAAAAATTGCAGACAAATACTGAAATGTGAAAGATATAAGATGTAAACAAAGTGACTTTTAGAAAAATATTTCTGAAATGAATACATAGCATTGAGATTTAATAATAGATTGCATGTTGCAAAAAAATTTACAAACTTA